CCATCCGGAACGGAATTATGGGGTCCGGAAAATCGTGAAAATCCACTTTTTGCAAATTTCTCTCGTTGGAGCGTTGCGGCGCAGCGGCGCACTGTCGTTTCGTCTGCGCTCTCCACCGCCAACTGTGTACTCTCGTCGAAGTGGGTGAGAAAGCATACACGTGCATAGAGAGTCCAGACGGCGAGACATCCACCACACAGCGCAGCTATGTGATTGAGTGACTTCTGGGCCGGATTTTGAAGCTTTCCGGTTTCCGGATCCGGTTTAAACTTTGCAGGCCTAGAGGCAAGACCACGTTGTGCCTCCTCAGCAAATTTCGTGAAAATTTATTGATTTTAGAAGAAGTTATTGATATGTGAACTGTGTCAAATCGCTCAAAATACTAAGTCAACTTTCAGGACATTAACGACAACGCTCCGGAATGTCCGGAACAGATGACGTTTTACGTCGCGGAAAATTTGCCGCCGTACAGTGTTGTCGGTGTGCTGAATGGCTTGGATCGGGACGCCGGCCTAAACGGTACTGTGTTCTACGACGCGCAGATGCAGATGCAGATCAATGAGGATGCCACCAGCAGATCAGCGATCGGATCAATCAGAAGTGATCATCAATCCGCGAGCAGCAAATTTGAAATCGACCGCAACACGGGGGTGATTCGAACACGGGTTTGGCTCGACAGAGAGCTGCAAGCCTCGTACAAATGGCGTGTTCGATTAACCGATGGCGGAGGTCTAGAGCGAGAGTGTCTAGTGACCATTCGGGTGGAGGACCGAAACGATCAAGCACCTGAATTCAGCGAAAGATTCTATCATTTCGAAGTCAGCGACCTGAGAAAGCATGAGATTGGCCATTTGGTAGCAAGGGATGGGGACGATTTGGCCTCGGGCAATGGCCAAGTGCGATATTATTTGCACGAATCAGCTACTACCCTCTCAAGGCGATCTCAAACCCGACATTTCAAGGTCTGTCAAGTCAAATGAAGTCAAATGAAGTGAACTGGAAGACCTAGAGCTAGAATTTTGAGCCCATGAGTCGCCTGAATTGTCAAATTTTTTCGGGAATTTTAGGCTCCAGGTTTCGGGTTTCGGGTTGAACATTTCAGGTTACAGCTTGATGAAAAAATTGATTTCAGGTTAACCCAGTGACTGGTGAATTGCGGCATGACGGTCGTCTCCAGTACGGCCAAATCTATAATTTGAGTGTGCTGGCTCGAGACCAGCCCAAAAATCCTGCCGAGAAGCCGCTCTCCTCGCAAATTTCCTTAGTATTCGTCAATGTTTCCGGAACTCATCAGGAATTATTCACTTCCCAGATGTGTACTCCCGTATTCGTGTCATTTCCCGACAAACCACTCAAAATCCGAGAGTCATGGCCCATCGGGGCAGTGCTAGCCTCAGTCCAGGCCACACTTCCCTCAACCTGCCCGGAATCCTTCAGGAGGAATGGTGATACGATGATCCGCTATTCCTTGTCAGTAGTTGTTGACGAGGCTCACCAAAGCCAAGGAGGTCTTGAAGGAGGTCCGGGAGGTCGTCAGACCCCCAGTAACCCCCGGAAACCCGGAAACTCGCTGGAAAACATCAGGCAGAAGAGCAGCAGAGGTGAGGCTAGAATCGCAGAAGGGGGGTTGTTTTGGATCGATGCAGAAGACGGCGATATCCGGCTGGTTGGCCGGCTTCAAGCGCATCGTTCCCAGAAGTATCTAATTAAAGTTATGGTCCAAGTGGTCACTGCTGCTGGTGGCAATTTAGTGGGTGGAAACGCATCAATTTTAGTGGAACTCAACGTGGAGGATGTCAACGATCACGCGCCAGTGATAGAAACTGAGCAAATTCACATTAAGGTTGGCGGAATTTTCAGATTTTCCACTGATTTTTGTCCAAATTTGTCAAATTTTTGTCAAAATTGCCAAAATTTCCCTTCTTTCATAATGTTTCAGTGCGAATTTCTCCGCTGGTTCCCATTGATTTACGTATTGATTTTCAGGAAAACAATGAGCCTGGGCAAGTTTGTGGCCTGATTCGGGTACGAGATGACGACTTGGGCGAAAATGGGCGCGTACAACTGCGGATTCTACATCAGCTACCTGAGACTAGTGGTCATTTCCGGTTAGAGGACGACAGTAGT